CGTGATCACTGCCTTTGAATCCCTTTTCCTGCTGCTTCATTACTACATCCGTTGGTGATCTTCCGTAAGACCTTCTGTAATCGGGAAGGCTGAAAACGTTTTGTCTCGGGAAGCCGGGGAGGTGGAGAGACTCCCTCCTCAAAAAGCGCCTCAAAGTCATGACATATTTATTTCGCCATCTGTAGACATCTGTTCAAAGCCAATAAGGTGCTAGCTAAGGGCTCGAGATTTTTAAGCGAATTTGTTTCCAGGTTGCCCATCGAACTTCGTCGACTGGCCTCCAGTGGGCCAAGATGTTCTCCAAGTTCAACTCGGGCACTTATAACAATCAGTGGAACATCTTGGACTACAAGGTGTTCAAAAAACGCCGCTTTGATCATCCATCGCACGGACTCCTTCATGTGCTCGAACAATTACCGTAATGAATATTCCGTTTACTTCGTTCATTCTTCAAACAACAAGGTTCTTTTTTAGGAACCACACAGCACACGCTGATCTGACTCACGTGTTGCTGCGGAACAACTATTGGCCGAGTTACAATACTCCGTGAGTTGATCACCTTTTGGCTTATTTTGCGCGAAAGCGCTCCAAAGCAGGGACAACCGTCCGTTCGCGTCTTGGAACGAGTGAGCCGCATTTGTGATTTCGGGCAGGGGGGTCGCATTGTGGGGTTGAGCATGGTTGTCACGGAGGGAACGGAGGTGTTAAGAAGAGTTGTGTTTGGACGGCTTTTGGTTAAGATTTCACGAAAATAGTGAGAATAAGGCAGAATTGGTGATAATACCAAATCCCCCTTCCCGCCCCTTCCTCCCTTCCCCCCCCCCCCCCCAATCGGCGACGGCCATTTTGGGTGGGTGTCGACTCGGGAATCAAATACTGTACCGTCATGATCGTGAGGTTGGTCGGAGAGGGGGATTCGTATCGTATCGAATGTGACGGTTACCCAGGCACCGCCACTCCAGAGTTCTGCCTCAGGATCGAAGATTCATTGAGTTCCAAGCCCCTCATGCAGAGACTTTCAGTGGAATTTCAGCTGAAGCGACGTTCTTACCAAGTCTCGCCGTCTTCAGAGGGCCGGACCCATATGATGAAGTAGGTGAAACTCCAGTTCGGGGGGGGGGGCCACTCCATTGCTATCTTATCCGTAGTACTAGAGAGCAGTTCTTTGGGCTATCGAACACTACGGATAAGATAATAAGTGAACGACTCATTTCGAGCGTACTTTTGATAAGGACCGGTGGATGTCCTACATTCCACACTACCTGCCCACATCCCATCCACTTTTCTGCACAGGTGATCCACCCTGGAGCTCCTGCACCCTTAGCCCTTTGCGGAGGTGTCCTTTCTCCTGGTCCAGGACCGTTCCCTTGGGTCATGGCAGGCGGAAATGTGAAAACGTTTCAGGGTTTCTCACCCATTACACCAATATTTATCAGAAGTCTACTTTAAATGAGTCGATTACGTGTCGTGAGCCCTCTAATCCTTATCTTGAGTATTGGAGAAAAAATGGAGTGGCCCCCCCGAACTGGAGTTTCACCGTGAAGTATATGTACCACCTGCACTTCGTTTAACTGCAGGCGCGGTCACCATGCTTTTTGTCAGAGTTTTTGCACCTTTTTCACTCTAATCCACTTGAAGCAATTAGGCTGCCGAGCCACACGCCGTTCCTTCGAAGGGCGCATGTGTAGAAAGGAATTTATGGTCCTCAAAGGATTGCTGAAGCCTAATTTTTTTCACTTTTTTCTACAAATAAAAAATTCGCGCGGCGCTACTTTTCGTTTATTTTGGTTTTCTACTATTTGTAAATCGTTAATACAAAAGGTTTTGCTTCAGCTATTTCCCGAAAATCTTCAAGTGGTCCGAGAGCGATAGAATGGTGAAGAAATTTGGTGATTGGTACAGGTTGGTGAACACAGTTATAAGTAATTTGACTTTAATCATCGGAGATTATGCACTTCAAGGAAATTATGCGTACCCGGTAGCGACCTATTGAAAAATTTCTGACCTTGGTTAGCTATTGTATGAAACGCAGCTGCTCTCTCATGGAACTGTAGCTTATTTCCCGATTTCCTTTATTCAACCAAGATGGAGACAATCAAAATACTAATATGTGCCAATGATATGGAATATACTAACGCTCATTCTCCTAAGTGCTGGGACTGGAGAACTGTGCTGACATTGCGCTCTCACATTGTCGATTTCTTGAATGTAACTCTCTTTCACCCCTCTCCCTTCGTATTATTCCTTTCGCGTCTTACAATCGGGTCTACAATAGGACTGGGCCGTTCTATTCCACCACCACGGTTATCTTATGGTGAGTGATTTCTGATAGTTTTTTTTATCTCTGACCACACGACCATCACGCTGCTAATAGGATCAAGCACCTGGGCCTGACATAGTTTCCCAAATATTGTCCCTCTATTCAGCTCCCTGTTCCTGCTCCATTATGTTCACCCTTCTAACGAACACCTCCATTTATGCCATTTATCTCCTTCTTGTCAAGTCTTCTAGAAATCAACCGTTTCTAGACCTGCGGTAAGACAGAGTGTAGGCTATGCAACGGCGAAAACATCGAAAATCGCTGGGATCCTTCAATATGCACACTTTCATCTTTCTTTGGAAACAATCTTGTCAGTTGACACCTTCCATGGAAGCTCTCGACGAAAGCTTGACTGCGGCTCTAAACATTTCTCCTTTGCTTGTGCGATTTAAATCTATTCATCTAATATTTATGTGACCAGCGTTTAATCCAGATAATTTGCTTTGGCGTCATGCCGAATTTTTCTGAAATTCCCTTTAGACTTATTCGTTCAACGATCGCTTACTAATATAGAGAGTACAAAAGAGCAATTGCTTTATCAATGTTTTCTGAAAAATCATTCTGGAAATTTGATTTTCAGCTACGACAAAACTCCTCGAGCGTTGATTTTCCGTAGGGATCAGGGTTCCGTCGTTGATATGGACAGTATGATTCAATTGATGAGGTAGGCAAGTTTTTTGCAAACTTCATTACCTCATCGTCAGTTCATACGACGCTTTTTATCCTCCTTTAGACGTGTAGAAGTAGTAAGAGGCGTGGCTACCACATCATGGTCCGATGATCGGATTTCGGACTGAATCTCGTTTAGGTCAACCGATCCTTGCCACCCCTCCGCGT